TAGAAAAAAGACACATGACCAGAACTCGCTCACATTATCATGATGACAATTTCTGTACAGAAAATGTGTTGTCAGGAAAAAAATGACTAATTGTACCAGTATCTATATCTCAATTAAAAAAAAGTCAATTGTGTGTATTTTACCATACCATACCAATTTATTTATAAAGCACTTTAAACAGTGACAAAGCACACCAAAGTGCTGTACAAATTTGTTTTGCATCACAAATCAAAGAAATAATAATTTAAATGGAAAAATATGTCCTATCTCAAATGAAACATTATGAGTCAGGCATGAGTTTGATGTTTTGAACCATTTCGGCTATGGCTGCCTCAGATGTGTCGACGGGGGAGAGGGCAGGCCCCGGAAACCATCTTATCACCAGCAAACTGGTTGTTCCACTATGGAAGTGTGCTGCTTGTGGGACTTGACTCAGATTAATAACTGGACCAAATATGTTTTCATTGTATTGTTAACTATATTTTTATTTTATTTTAAAGCCTAACTGGATGAGAACATTTCACTTCCTGGACTCATCCAGTAAATGGATATCGCCTTTCTATCTCATCAAGATACTCAAAGTGCTTTAAACTACAATCTGTGTCCTCATTTACCCGTTTATACAGCACTCTACTAGATCTTTACAAAGCTAATCTGAGTCTGTAGACACAAATCAGTGCTTTAGATCACATTCATACACCGATGGGACACACATGAGAGGCAATGATGGCATCTTGCCAGGGACACATTAGCATGTGACTGCTGGTGGAATCGAACCTGCAACTCTTGCAATGGAGGACGACTGCTCTAACCACTCAGCCACAGCTGCCACTAAAGTAGTTCTGATGCCTAGACCTAACCATAAAAGATATGAAAAAAGGTTACATATTCCAGTCCAGTTTCTAGATAGACCTTGTAATTTATTCATATCCATAGCTAAGGTTCTAAAAACTAAACGGTATGAGTCTTCTAACACATTGAAAAGACAAAATGTTGGTGGATTTTTCTTTTTTCTTTCAAGAGTGCTGTATTTTAGTAGTTATGGCTATGCAAATAAATCCTCAGATTTTGTCTCTGTTAAATAACTGAAGCTTTAAAGTAATTACTAACATTATTACCGGTAATTAGCCAAAATGCCATGATATTGGGCAGCACGGTGGCGCTGCTGCCTCTCAGCGAGCAGGTCACCCCGGTTCAAATCCTGGTCCGGGGGGCCTTCCTGGGTGGAGTTTGCATGTTCTTTCCATACATGCATGGGTTTTCTCTGGGTGCTCCGGTTTCTGCACAGACCAAAAACATGCATGCTAGTCTGATCGGTAACTCTAAATTGGTCCTAGGTGTGAGTGAGAGAGTGAATGGTTGTTTGTCTCCTCGAGTCCCTGTGATGGACTAGAGACCTGTCCAGGGTGTCCCCTGCCTCTCTCACAGTGATGGCTGGATATGTGCACCAGTGACCCCCGTGACCCGAAAATGAAGAAGTAGGTATAGCTAATGGATGGATGTCATGATATCCATTAAATCATATTTCTAAAATGTCACGTCAATACAATCGGGACTGTCAAATCTAAAATGTCATATTTTATTAAATGAAGTCAAAGCTGCACATCTTTACAACTCAAGCATGAGCGCTTAGAACCCGTGCAAATGAAGATGCACTGGAGATCATCTGACAAATGTTGTTCACCATCAATAGTCACCAGCAGTCACAGACAAGTGAGATTACTACCTTTGGTGGCTAGGGCTTGCCACTTTGGTCAAATACATTTTTCTTAGTGATTATTTGTTCATATTATTCAAAATTCAATAGCAATCCAATTATATTGTCATGACATTGAATCCAACATTCAAGCCTGCTTAATATAAAGGCATCATTGGCCTCAGCCATTAGAGAAGCTTTTTAAATAATAATAGCATTTTAATAAATGTCATGTTAACATTGAATAGCAGTTTTAAATGTGAAGTAGAGTAATCTGAGCTGGAATCAAGAGTTATGTGATTTCTCAACATCCTGCAAATGTTTTCCCATCTGTCTTTGTAGTGTGCGCAACCAAATGTTTTTTTCCATTTGTTTGCATCTGGACATGTGTCTGCGTTCAGTTCTGCATGTGTGTGTGTGTGTGTGGGTGTGTGTTGCGTGAGGACATGTTTCCAGGGCTGCAAGCTTCATTGGCTCAGCTTGATTTCTAATATTTCTGTAATATTGTTCCCACAACCCTTTTTTTTTTACCCTTACCCTTCCTAACGAAAGCCTACTGTCATTAGGAAGAGCATGAAGGCAAACCGTGATGAGATACTGAGACATTTTATTCTAATCTATCTTTGTCGAATAGTTTACTTTGACTTACACAAAATGTATCTACTTCATTAAACTTGTGAAATAATCTACTTTTAAAAATGTCAAGTGTTTGTTTCTTTCATAAAAAGGGAAGTAGTGGTTTGATGTCTCAGCTTTCTGTCAATCATCGAGTACACAGGCACTTTAAATATATGAACATATATTGGATTATTAACACTCTTTCATTATTGCCTAAAGTTATTTGCTAAAGCTGCACGTATTCTGTTTTCTGTTATAATAATAATTATTATTTATTTCAAAATTAGCCTCTAGATTAAATGATTATCAAGCAAACAGTTCTGTTCATTGCATCTAAAACGACATATTTACTGACATTTTTGCATCTTAAATCTTATCACAAATCATTCAAGGTCTTTAAAAGCTAAAAACAATACTATTTTTTTAGAACAGAGTCTTAAAGTACATGTTTTATACATTTCAACAGTTTCCAAGGCTGCGTCAGAGCCATGTTTATTTACTTTCCTCCGGTGATTTTCCACTACTCTGGCTCCTTTTCCCTCCATGTGATCATTTTCTAGCAGTATCAAGGCAAATAAATAATAATAATAATAATAATCCACACACACCACAAGACATATGCAAGTGAGATAATTTGTTTCTATTCATTTTATTTGTTTTTCCCCCTTGTTTTTCATGTTTTTCATTTGCTGAGCCTTGTCCAATTCAGGCTAAACAAGTTTATTTGATTTAGAGTCAGCTCAGAGGTTGTGAACACTTTAAGAAATGCATCCAACTCCGAAGATTCTGCAGGGTCTACTTGCATAGCTGGGAAGTGAAGTCAAGCCTTTGCTACAGCTGCTGCCTGCAAAAGCACAAACAGATAACAGGCCTGACAGTCGTTTCAGTTTCACGGCCTCAGCCCTGCTTGCACAATTTATAAATTATGAAACCTTCGTGTTTAATGAGTTATTTTAAATCTGTTAAAGATGTTAAGACAGCTTTTGTCAGTTAAGTCCAATTGCCACACAAAGTCTTATTTTCCTTCAAGACTTCTTGCCATCATCAGTGCTATACTGGACCACCACAGTTCCTTATATGTTGGTCTTGACCAGCTTCTGCAGTTAGCTAATGCACATCTTTTCACAGAAACTAGAAAGCATGACCACGTCTCTTCAGTTTTAGTAGTTTTTTTTTTTTACTTACTTTTAAATACTTAAATAGCTCATGACAACAAAATTCAGTTGAATTTATTGAGTTTTACAACCTCCAAAGATCACTGTGCAGCCACTTGCCAAATAAAATAAATAAATAAAATAAATAAAATCACAGATGATTCAGAATGTTTTGCCGCTATGAAATTAAAATTGCCAATGCTGTCCTTTGAAAGCGTAGTCATTACGTTGATATGTTTGTTTTATTTGGTTACACACTCTCAGTGGTGTGTTTGTGTCGCTCTAGACACAGCCCATAATGTTCAGTATTATAATAGGAATTCAAAACATTTAAAAATCAACTCTTGAAATGCTCAATAATCCAGGTAGAAAATTCTAATATGTCAGGTCCTCTGGGCGGATTCAAAAAATAAAATTAAAATGTTAAAACATTTGTTTTTGTCTTTTATCCAAAAGACTGTCAGTCTGAGGAGCTGCAATAAGCTCAGTCTTATAAATAGCACTTTCTCATAGTAGTTTGTTGTTGACATCCGGAACTAGCTGTTCACGTGATAAAGGAGGATCATCAGCCTAACAGTTGGTCGTTAGTGACCTGATGGCTTTTTGTCTTTTGGATAGAAGACAAAATGTTTCAACAAGTTTTTAATTTTGATATTTTTTGAATCCCTCCAGAGGAACTGACTTAACATTTTTAGAACTTGCTTGAAATGTTCTAGTTGTGGTCAGAGTGGAACAAATGATTATGTTGAATATTAATATTGTGGTCATTGTTTATAGAGTATATGCTCTGTCCGACGCCACAGTTTTTATTTTGCTCATTTCATGTCCAAAGAAGCCAAGACTGTGAGTTTGACCAATACTTAGTACCATGTCCAGAAAACTCAATACCATACTTTTTTGGCCTACAATTCAGTTTTTTGCATAGTTTACGTGCCCTGCAACTTATACACTGAAGCAACCCCCCCCCCCCCCCATTTATAAACCAATTTTTGGCTGAGATATGACCGTTTTCATTCAATCTGACATTGAAAATATTGAACACTACCATTTTCAGCCGCTAGATGGCACTCGAGTAGTATGGCGTGCCATTGTGTCATGTAATAAATGACACAATCGGCTTGCCCACATTTCCAGGTTGTCAGCGGTGACGCATAATAGATGCGATTTATACGGCGAACCAACTTATTTATGTTTTTTCCCACATTATGAGACATATTTGGACTGATGTGACTTACAAGGCGGTGCAAAGTGTACGGCGGAAAATTCGTTACATTTCCAGCTGGAACAAGTTAAAAATCATTAAGACGGTGCTCAAATATCTAAATCCAAATTTAGTTTAATTATCGTGTCATCTATCAGTAGTGACCATGTGGTAAAACTGCAGCATCAAGATTTTGTTGAAGTCCATCTGTTACAGAAAAAAAATGCATTAAACATTTATTAAACTTTATCTAACAATTAATATACTGTGTAGACCTATATATATATATATATATTGTTTGATGCCTTACATTTGTTTTGTGTATCTTCAGGTGCGTTTATCATCTGTTGGACACCCGGCTTGGTTATCCTACTCCTCGACGTCTTCTGCTCCCACTGCACCGTCCTCACCTATGAGAAGTTCTTTCTACTCATCGCAGAGTTCAACTCGGCCATGAATCCCATCATCTACTCCTACCGTGACAAGGAGATGAGCGCCACCTTCAGGCAGATCTTGTGCTGCCAGCGGCAGGAAAACATCAACGGGACGGCGGCGGCGGACGGATCTGACCGGTCTGCGTCTTCCATCAACCATACGGTGCTGGGCACTGGCGGCATACTTCAACACCATCACCACAACAATGAACACTCGGTGGTATAAAAATACAAGAAGGAAGCAAAATGTTTTGAACATACTGACTTAAAAATGATAAATGGTCAAAAGGGATTCGGAGCATGGCGTCGACTGAAAACTGTGGTGTACATTTGTGACTAAAAACAGGTGATTATGAAGAAGCGAAGAGCGACTATGATGAAAGATGAAGACTTCATCTGTTTAAAAAAGAAGAAATTGGATTTTTTTAGTACTCTGACAGGCCATTGGTATTTGTTTGGTTGAGTATTGTGTTAAATGTATTTTTTACAAGCAAAGCTGATATGGAATATTTAAGTAATTTGTGAAATGAAGGTAATGCCAGTATAACCATTTTCTCTCTCCAGCTCAGTTTGTCTATATGTAAGTACTCTTCTTAATCTATTTCATCTAGACAAAAGACCCTTTTTCAAGCATTCAACAATGTTCAGTCAGGTCATCTGGACGGTTTCTTTTTTCCTGAGATGTTTCGTCCTTCATCCGAAGGACTTCTTCAATCTGAGGAGCCACCAACAAACTGAGTCCCACCACAAACAGCACACTCCCTTAGTAGGAAAAAAAAAAATTGCTGGTGATAAAATGGCCTCCGGGGCCCACCCTCTCTCCCATCAACTCCTCTGAGGCAGCCTTGCCAAAGTGATTCAAAACACCAAAGCTCATGCTCAATAATCCAGGTAATAATCCAACTATGTTCAGTCAGGTCATCTGCATCGGCCATTTTATCACCAGCAAACAATTTGTTGTTTTTTTTCCACTAGGGGACTGTGCTGTTTGTGGTGGGACTCAGTTTGTTGGTGGCTCCTCAGATTGAAGAAGTCCTACAGATGAAGGACGAAACGTCTCGGCAAAAAAAGAAACCGTCCAGATGACCTGACTGAACATTGTTGGATTATTACCTGGATTATTGTGCATGAACTTTGGTGGTTTTTAAGCATTGTGTAACAATTCTAAGCAGACACTCATTTTAATCCACTGGTGTTCAACGTTGGTTATCCTCACAGGTTAAACAGCATTGGTCCTAACATCTCTAAACCCCTTCAAGTAGAGTTGCATTCGGGCCCAAAAAATCCAACCCGACCCAGCCCCAGACCGTAACCATCATTTACAAACCCCACCTGACCTGACAAATTAATAGTAATTACAGATCCGAACCTTAAGCTTTGACTGCTTATATAGTTATTAATGGTCGGCGGACGGCTAAGGGGGCAGAAGATGGGAGCTGAAGGGGCGTTTGTCCTTTCATGGACGTCAAAGCGCATTAAATCCCTGCTTCTGCCTGCATTCTGCATTATTCAGACACGGACCCTGCTCAGTCATGTCGGATATTTTGGGATCTTGCCTGTTTGGGTCATCAGACGGACGCGTCTGCTGAGTGCAGCGGCTGAATGAATGTCTATTTGGGCTTTAGGGTCGCTGCCTTGCAGTATAGTCCCATCTGAAGCTTAACTGAACCTTTTTTTTTTTTTTTTACCTCTTTCAAGAACGGTCAGCGCGCGGTCAAATGGCGGCATGTGGCTGGTGAATGTATGGCAAGCCATTTTGCCATATAATTGGAGCGTCAATCACACGTGTCCCCTGTCGCAATCAAGAGCCCGACACCGGCCGGGCCCTCACATTAAGTACATTATTATGGCCCGATCCAGTCCTAATCCGGGTCGGGTCGGTCCGGGTGTGGGTTAAAAATAACAGCACTTCCTACAAGTCCATTTCTTTACTTTTACACACACGAATCTGTGTGCAACAAAGGAATTTCAAGCCTTGCTTGATATACAGAACTTATGCAAATATATCTTGTGTGCAACGTCATTCTTTTTGCTGTGACCTGACTGTTTTGAATAAACTTGCCTGTTGCAGACATTGAGAACTGCACTCCCAAAAATGCGACACACACTTTGCTTCTCATTAATCTAAACACTCACTTGCCAAGTTTTCACAACTGTTTAGATTGCAATGCAGTTACAGTCTACCATAAGAAATGTCCTTGGAACAAAAGGTACTTTGTACTTTGGAATGAAAGTCACTGCTGCCATACTCTATGCGTGTGGAGCATCTGTGTCACTTGTGCTGGACAGCAACCAAGCTGCAAATTGAATCATTCAACATTTCTTTTATCAGTTATTCAGTAACATGTTTGGATTGTAGACAGCACAGGAACACCAACAAATGTGTGTTTAATACTCTGTTATGCCTCAAAACCATGAAGAACTGATGAAATATCTTGGTGTCTATGTTCAGAAGGAGCCACTGGTCTTACTGGGTTAATGAAAATACTCGTGTAAGAACGATAGATTAGTTTGTCAAATGTTTGGATTTTTTGCTTGTAATCCTGCACTGCTTACTGAGGGCAGACAGATGAAAACGCCCAAGATTCTCATTTGTCAGGCACAATATGATGTTTTATTAATATATGAAATATTGAATTTAGCTTGTGATTTTTTTTTTATATACCTAACCTTGCCTTCTCTTTCTTCCTTCTACACAACTGAATCACTGTGGTCATGGTACCTTTATCACAACACTTAATAGACTCTTTTTTTTCTTTTTACATCTACGATACTGTGAAAATGTTTCAAACCAATTTAATTTATTTACAGTGCTTTCAAGAATCTGGACTTTCAAGTAATCTAAAGTGGACTTGATCAAAGTCTCTTCAGGTATCTAAAGATTTTCAAACATTTTCTTTGGACATTGACTACATGGCTCATTCATTTTTCTTTGTACTTTATTTTTCAGACTATAAGGTGCTTTAAGCGAAATTTTATTCAACTCTTTCACAATTACCACATAAAATATGTTCGAGGTCAGTAAGTACAACCAGAATTAATACATAAGGCTTATACATAAGGATTATATGGCTCACTGTTGATTTTTAAGAAAATTAAAGGATTTTAAGTGTGCCTTAAAGTCTGAAAAATACAGTCTTTGTATCTGACCATGACATCATCATGTGCAGCGTGTGCTAAAGAATGATGAAAATATACAAGTGGTGCACTTAAAGAAAAAATCTCTACAGTAGATAAACACTATCTGAAAACCTTGTATTAAAAAAATTAAGTTTACACAGGATCTTAAAGAATCATCAGCTAAAAGACACATAATCCTAAAATATTACAAGAATGTCTAGAAACCTGGAAGTAAAATATAGACATAGAAGACAGAGCTGTATTTCTGTTTTGCTGTTGTTGGGGTTTTGTATTCCACTCATTTGTTTAATTATTATTAATGCAGTCCAACTATTACACCCTTTCCCAAGAGAATTAACTTTTCCAGCAAATGTTTGACGGCCACTGTAACCATTTATTCTAACAATTATTTCAGGTTATTGTAGCAAAGGGACTAAACTTTCTACTTTCCGGTGTCACATTTTTATTCACCAGTATTGTTCCTTGTACAGCGTTGTAAGTATTTGTACAGTATGTGTATATAAAATATATTATTCAGTTAATAACCAAAGGGAAAAGTGTTATCTAGATGTACTGTAGGACCATGTTCACGATTCTTCTGTCACGTGTTGTTTTCCTAATGCATGACGACACAACACTTCTTGACCCTTCCTGTGTGTGAGGGTTGTTCCACTCTGAGGAGTAACTTAACACGCAACTAAAAAGCAGTTCTTCTCTCGGGTTCAAACTATTGCTTCACCTCCAAACACATCCAGCAGCGTTCACACGTAAAGTGCATCCAACAGTGCAAAGCAGCAAGGAGAGATGTGACATGAAACCACTGGAGATGAGCAAAAGCAACATGGGTTTAAATTGTGTGTTGCTAATTCAGCCTTACTGTAACACAAAGATCAGTGTCTTGCAGTATCAATGTAATACATTTAGTTTCCACCTTTCTATCTATGTAATTCCACACCTGTCTTGTTTCTCGTTGGTGACTTGCTTTATTTATTCAAAGTCCAGTTTTACCACGTTATTTGTCCAGATTAGTACATTCTGATTACTATTTTTATTTATTTTTTAATCCTGATGCTTTGTATTTTATCTCAGAGGTGGACTTGGTGTTTATCGTGTCTTTATCCAAATGAAAAGATGCAAAAAAAAAAAAAAAAGACAATTGTTTATCATTAAAATCTGTTTACAACCAAATTTATAATCAGAGTTCTTCTCAGTTGTGGGTCTGATACAAAAAAGAGAGGAAAAAATAACTTTATTAACAATTTTATATGTAAAAATGATGCTAACTGGTTCCTGCTGCAAGACCTTCCAGTGCACAGTGAGAGCAGCTGAGAAGATTGCTGTTACCTCCCTCCCCACCCTTCAGGTCTTTTACAACACCCATTTTACTCACATAGCCTTCTGCACTGCAAGAGACTCCACCCGCCTGTTGCACAGCCTCCTCCGTCTGTTGACATCAGGAAGAAGACGGCGGCGTCTCCAGGCCAGGGCCAACAGACTCAGGGAGAGCTTCGTATCAGGCTGTCCAGAAGCCAAACTCTTCTTGTCCTGCCCCTCTCTCCATTTTCCCTGGACTCTAACACCCCCTATCCCATCACTGCCCCCTCCTCTTTGGTACACCTGTCTTATGTTACCCTTATGTTGTTTATCCTATAAGTATAATGTTGTCTTTTTGTTCTATATCATCGTTTATGCATTGTGCATGGGAGAGGAATTCAGTTTCAAGTATCTGTGTGTCTTGTACAAAAGGAAATTTGACAATAAAGCTCACTTGACTTGGTTCAGTAATGTTTAGCCTAAAGGGTATAATTTACTTTAAATATCCGAATATCAATGGAAACACAACCAGATTCATTGTGCTGACGTTAAAAAGCCCAGACTAAAATATGATAAACACTTAATTCGCAAGTGTGAGTGAGCGAGTGTGTTTTATCCCAGATAAAATTATTGGATAGTTTTACTGGAATGGTTAAAATGATAACTCCGTGTTTAGTCTTGTCATGGTGGTTCCTTCCTGCTATCCACTTGTGTTGCTGTTTCCATGACATCAAGAAAGTCAGGATACAGGGTCACAGATAGACAAACCCAGTAATATTAATGACAGCCTTGGCTTTTAGTATTTTTTATGTCGGCTCTCTTTTCTTTCCAAACCAGTTTTTCAATGTTCCAGCACTATGCAATTTAAGTAAAGTAAACCCATACAACCAATCAAGCTGTTAAAAAAGCTGTTGCATTGTGGGTTTAAATAAAAAATAATAATTAAAGATGGCATCAAACTGGCATTATTAGGTGAA